GTGAAAAAGCAGCAAAATGCAGGGGGGGGGAATTAAAAAAAGGGGAGGTTGCAAGCAGAGGTGTGAAGCCCTGGTATCGGGAATCACGAAGGTGGGAGGGGGAGAGCAAACGAGGGGAGGAGATTTTTTTCAGCAGACCATGGTACCTCCCCCCCACACACACACACACATCTCTGATTGGCTGAGGGGCCCTGGAAGTCCTGCCCTCTTCGGAGACTAATAGATAGCCACCTGTCAATCTCCAGGGAAGGATGAGACTTCTGGGACCCCTCAGCCAGAGGCATGGGGAAAGTCTGCTGTACTCCACCACAAAAATGGTGCTTAATGCTGTGCCAGGACCATGAAATCTGGAGGCAGCCTCCATGAATTAGGTAGGTCCCTGCATTTAGGCAGTGGGTGCTGATAGACATGGGGGAAAAGCAAACCAGACAAACAAACATAAAAAGAAACCCATCACTTTACTGGAAAAGGAATCACATCAGTTTGATCTGACTCACTCAGTGTCTGTATAGCTCATGCACTTCAGCAGGGCTTTTTGGTGTTTTTATCCAACAGCTGATTGAATCAGTTATTAGATGAAAGGACCAAAAAGCCCTGCTGAAGCGCGTGAGCTATACAGAGACTGGGAAGCTGGGTCAAACTGACAGGGTTCCTCTTTTGAGCATGCGTTGCTCTTGGTGCAGGGATGCACCAAGCTGAAAGTACAGCACTGTTTGTTTGTTTTATTTTTCATGTCTGTAAGCAGCCAGTAAGCACAACAAGCAGTGCAAGGCAAATAGCTCTACAAATTTAGCCCTTTCTTTGTTTGTGGACTGTTCAAGAATAAACTTTTATTTTACCATTTTTTGTGAATTACTTGCTCTAGTTGGTATTTGTGGTACCTGATTGGCCACCTGTGCTACATGTTCTCTGATCAGAATTCAAACTTTGACAAAGAGAAGGGAAATCAACACCACCACAGTAGCCGTGTAAATATTTCTTCATATGTCAGCACAATGAGCAGCAGAACAAAGAGGTCGGTCACTCATTCTATTAATCCTCAAACAAC